AGCCTCCCTACAGGTGCCTTCGGCTGCCTGGTTGCTTGAGGGGGGGAGTATTCTCCCCGCCGGCACTCTCTGGGGCTGCTGCGGGGCTGATGGACCAGCCATGCCCTCCCTTTACCCGCTGAGGTTGTCAGCGGTGAGGTCAGACGGGTTCTGCCTCTCCCACCCCCTGTGTTACGTTTCCTGCTGTATCACAGTGTCCAAACGGAGATCAGGGCCCGGCTGTGGGAACGAATAAAAGACAAATAAATATGTGAGTTGCCAGGAATGAGGAGGGGCAGCTCAATCTTGTGGTGGTCAAACAAAGCGAGGGACTCTTGATTTATGAGCAGGGTATTTCTCACGCCTCAGTGTTTGGGTTTGAGGGTATTATTTACACACACCCACCCACCCCCTCGGTGGTGGGGAGTTGGCCTGCGAAGCACAGCCGTAGCCGTGTGAGAATGGGCTTACCCTGACTAAAACTCACCAAATTTTCCCTTTTTGTTCCAAAAATGGCCTCGCAGGATTTCGTGTCTATTTTGAAAGGGGCGAGTCTGCTCAGGGTTTACACAGGATGCTTAAAAGTAATAGTTAAGAGTCTCGATACTGGTTTTGGTTGCTGTTAAATCCTGAGCTGCAGGAAACATGGAGCAAAGAGTTTCCTGCGGAGGTCTTGGTGCACCCTCCTGTGGGCTGCGGACTCCTGTCTCTGGCTCTGTCTCCCTGTGGGACGTGGTTGCTGCTCAGCTGGACATTCCCTTCTGATATCCGGAAGGATTTTGGCTCAGACAAAAGGCAGATGACTTTGCCCACCTTGGTGATGTGCCACAGAGGGGCAGGAGGCCTGGCAAGGACCGCCGGTGCCGGGTGCCCATCTGAATTTAATTTTCTGTGTAATTGAAGACTTTGGAAGGAATTTGGAAGAATTGAATTTGGAAGGAAGTGATGTGTTTGGCAGGAACTGAAGTGTTTGGAAGGAATTTGGAAGAACTGTAGAATTTGGATGGAGTTTGTCATCCTCCAAAGCTTGTCTCAAGTTGAAGAAGCGCGGAAGGGCTGTCAGAGACGCTGCTCAGAGCCGGCTCGGCCGTAGCAGGTTGGCCAGCACCTCCTCCAGTTGAATTTTGCGTACCTCCAGGACCACAGACCCCACAACCCCTCTGAGCAACCAGTTCCTGTCTTGGCTCATGGTGTCCACCAAGACCCCTAGGGCCTTCTCTGATGAGCTGCTGGGTGGCCCCCAGCGTGTCCTGGTGCCTGGGGTTGTTCCTCCCCTGGTGCAGGACGTGGCACTTCTTGTTGAACCCCATGAGGTTGCTGCTGGCCCATCTCTCCAGCCTGTTGAGGTCCCTCTGGATGGCAGCATGACCCTCTGGCGCATCAACCACTCCTTCCAGTTTGGTGTCATCTACAAACCTGCTGTGGGTGCGCCCTTGCCCCATCATCCTGATTGTTATTGAAGATGTGAAGCAGCTCTGGCCCCAGTATGGACCTCTGGAGAACACCACCAGTGTCCAGTCTCCATCTGGACCTTGTGCTGCTGGTCACCACCCTCTGGACCTGGCCGTTGAGCCCGTTTTCAGTCCATGCTGATGGCTCCTGACCACTGTCTTGTCGAGTACAAACCCTGGTGGGCTTTGCCTTGCTCAAACCCAACCCTGCACCTCAGGCTGTGTCTGCATGTTCCTCCTGCGTCACCTGTCCTACCTTCCACCTCTTTTACATGTCCCCATTGCCTTGAGCTCAGTCAGGAGCTCCTTGCTCCATGCAGACCTCTGGCCACCTCCCTGCCTGTCGGGATGGCCCATTGTTTGGCTCAGAGAAGATGATCCTTGAAAATCAACCGACTCTCCTGGACCCCACTTCTCTCCAGGGCTGTATCCCATGGGATTCTTCCAAGCAGGTTCCCAAAGAGGCCAAATTCTTCTCCCTTTAAGCATCCAGGATGGTGATCCTGCTTTTTGCCCAGCTCCCTTCTCTCAGGATCTTGAGCTCCACCATCCTGTGGTCACTGCAGCCAAGGCTGCCTCCAACCTTTTCATCTCCAACCAGCTCATCCTTGTTTGTAACTGAGGGGTCCAACAGAACACTTCTCCTGGTTGGCTCCTCGATTGCCTGGCTCAGGAAGCCATCTTCCAAGCCACCTCTGGGGTGATGTGTCCACTTCTGGTCCCCTCAAGTGAAGAAGGACGTGGGCAGACTGGAGAGGGTCCCAAGGAGGGCCAGGACAATGGTGAAAGGGCTGGAGAACCTGCTGTAGGAGGAAAGACTGAAGGAGTTGAATCTCTTCTCCCTGGAGAGGAGAAGGTTTGGGGGGGACCTCATCCCAGTGGTCCAGTGCTCAAAGGGTGGAGGCTTTCAGGGAGTCACACGGAGAAGACAGGGGTACAAGTTGCATTAGGAGAGGTTACATCTCAACTTAGGTTGTGCAGTGAGACCAGTTGGAGACCAGTTGTTCACTGGAAGAACCTCCCTGGGGACATGGTGGAGTCCCTATCGCTGGAGGTTCTCAAGATGAACCTGGATAGGGAGTGAGATAATCCCACCTAGGGTCCCTTCTCCATGAAAAGTTGGACCTGGATCTTTCCAGGGCCAAACTGGGCTGTCCTATGGGTCTGTGATTGACAGCATCCATCCCTGGGGACTTCCCAGGTGCCACCCACCAGCTCTGACCCAGGCATGCTTGTCCCTGCTTGATTTACAAGCCGCTGGGAGAACATACTTTATAGTCTCTACCAGCCAGGAGCTCTGAACCTGTTGGGTGGCTTTGGGCTTCCCCTTGCTGCTCGTGGTGCTGCAGACGGGGGTTGAACGGAGGGTCATCTTCTGGGTAGGGTTCCTTGATGTCCTCCTGGAGGTTCCTGCTTGGCCTCGGAGATGGTGACCGCTCCTGGGGCTGGTGTTTGGTCAAACCCACCTTGTTTACCGTGAGGGACAGATGTCTTCACCGCTCCGCCCAGCCATAAAACACCCCAGGGGGACTGGAAAACCCCGGTCGTGGGGCAGGGTGGCTTCTTCATCCGCCCCCGGGGGACAACGGGGGTGAGAAACCCAACGTGGTGTCACCCAACGTGGTGGGTGATGTCCCTGTCAAACCTGGGTCAACTCTTTGGTGGTCTCCTTGGGGTGCGTCTTGCCCCGGTGTGGTGGCTTATGGTGCCCAGGGCCAGCACGTTTTGGGGCCAGCACCCTCCATGGCCACGTTGGGACTCGATGTCACCCCTTGTCCTTGTTGTCACCCTCCCCGGGCACACGGTGCCCTCCCATGGGGACCCCCATGACAAGGAGACCCCAAACCATGTGGCCTCCCTTCTGCTGAGCCCTGGAGGAGGGGTGGGGCCAGCTGCTCCAGTGGCCTGGGGACTGAAGGGGGACGGACTTGGCTCCTGGCCGGATTCGTCCCACTGGGAATTTCCCGGTGGCTCAGGAGGAGCACGGCACAGCGGAGCAGCTCCCATAAAAGGGCTCCGTGGCCCGGCGGGTGACAGGAGGCAGGATGAGACCGTGGCAAGCGGTGTCACCGCTGCTCCTGCTGCTGCTGGGACTGGGACTGGCCAAGGCCACCACGCCGGCGTCGGATGGATCCACGCCGGGCTTGGCCGGATCCATCCCACCGGGACTCTTGGCCGTCAGCTACGGCGATGCCGTTTCGGCGACTGTGGAGCTGCTCAACGCGAGGGCCGTCAGTCCCTACGTCCTGCGGCTCCGGGAGGCCCAGGACCAGCCCGGCTGGGTGAGCGCTGAGTTCCTCCACCCCATGAGCAGCACCGGGCCCGGGTGGCGCAGGATCCGACCCATTTTGGGGCTAAATCCTGCCCATTTGGAGGTTAAATCTGGCCCGTTTTGGCGCTGGGTCTGACCCCCTGCAGGGATGGTGTCCACCCAGCTTGGGGCTGCGTCTAACCCATCTCCGAGCTGGATGTGGCCCCTCTCCGGGCTGGATCCGGGCCGTTTCGGGGCTGTGCGTTGGGGACAGCGGTGCAGCGGGTACCTGACGCTTTCTGTCCCCTCTCCCAGTCTGGGGACCTGCGGAACCGGCAGGAGTTGAGCTTCACCGTCGAGGAGACCACATGCCGCGCTCCGGGGACTGCCACCGCCGCCTGCAAGAGCCGCTGGCTCGGGGTGAGGCTTTGTCCCGCTGACGTCCCCAACGGCGCGATGGGGAAACTGAGGCACGGGAGAGGGGGTGTGGGGCACCCCTCGGTCTCATCTCACCCGTGGTGTCCCCTTCTGCTTCTCCGCAGGCGGTGAGTTGGTGCCGGGGTTACGTCTTCCTGGAGCAGCAGCAACCCGTGGTCGAGCTCTCCTGCGAAAGGGCACGCAGCACGGTAAGAAGGTACCCGAAATGACACCGTGAGCCCCGGTTTTGCCACCCGCTCCGTGGGGCACGTCCCCAAAGTGTGTGGGAGGGGGAAGGTCACCCCCATCTCCCTGAGGTTTGACCACTCTCCTTCTCCTCCCAGCTCGGCCGTATCCAGACATCCAGGCTCAAGGATTTTTTTGCCAAGATCAAGGAACGGTTTAGGGGCTTCTTCCAGTGTGGGAAGATCTGGATCCGCGATAAGCTCAACCTCACAAAACCCCAACCCTGAGCGGGTGACGCCGTGTCCGTCTGTCCCCCTCCCCTTCCATCCCGTGCCCCCCACCCGGACGCTCTGCTTGCAATAAATGTCCCTGCAACGCTGTCGGTGTCACCCTGTGTGTCCCTGCGCCCCGTTGGGAAGCGGGGATGGTCCCTAAGGTCCCAAAATCCCCCAACCCTTGCCCAGCTGAGGGACTCCAAGGGTTGGGGACACCCCGGGGAGCGGTGCCGTGTCCCCAGGGGGGGACCAGGAGTGTCACCACCCGCACTCAGGACCCCCCCACACTGTGTGTGTCCCCCCCAAAAAAAATAACTGCCGCTCCGTGGGTTGGGGCCAGGCGTTTCCGGAGGGGGGAGCGGAGCCCCGGGGCGGGATCCCCAACCTCCTGGCGGGGAGGATAAAAGGGGACAGCGATGGGGGGTGGCCGTGGGGACAGGGATGGCGAGCTCCTGGGCGCTGGTGCTGGCGGTGCTGGGGGGGGCGTGCGCCCTCCCCGTCCCGGCCCCCCTCGCCTACACGCAGGCGCTGGCTCAGGCCGTCGACTCCTACAACCAGCGCCCCGAGGTGCAGAACGCCTTCAGGCTGCTCAGCGCCGACCCCGAGCCCGCCCCGGTGAGTGCCACCGCTCGGGGGACACCGCCGGATCCTCCGTGGGGACGTGGCAGGGGACGCCCGAACCTCGGCGAGGTGGCGGGGGGGGTCAAGGCCAACAGGAAGGGGTTCTTTAAGTATCTAGGAGACACAAGGGAAACTCGGGAAAATGTGGGGAGCGGGGAGGGGGGTTCGTAGGGAGTGTCCCCCACCTCCCGTGGGGTCCCCAACCTGGGGACGGTCCCCTCTGTGTCCCCTCACGCTCAGACCCCGCTCTCCGCAGCTCATCAAGGAGTGCTCCGCGCCCGTTCCCCAGGGTGGCACCCACCCCGTGCTCGACGTCACCTGCGTGGACCCTGACGTGGACGTGAGTTGGGGACATCCCGGGAGGGGGACACATACACGCTGTAGGGCTTAGAGGGAGGACTCGGGGGGTGGGGTGGAGTGTCTCCATTGTCCCCTCCACCCCGTGACACATCCTCTTCTTGCAGCCCGTCCGCGTCAAGCGCTTCTGGCCGCTGCTGAGCGTCGCCATCAGGACGGTGTCCACCGGCATCAACCTCTTCAAGGCCTTCAAGAGGAGATGAGCGCTCCCCCCCCACACGCCTCGCCTTGAGGGGCCACCGTCTTGGGGACACCCCTCCCCTCCTCAACACCCCCGTACCCCAAATAAAGCTGCTTCCCGGCCCCGCTGTGCCTTTTCCGACTGGGGACCGGGAGGGACGGGACAGGGGGAGGTGATGCCGATGGAGGAGGGGCCCAGGGTGGGGGGGAGCGAGGCCCCGAAATGGGACGCGGTGCTGTCCCGACCCCACGGGCACTGCTTTCTCCCCACAGCCTCATCCCGTCACCGGCCTCGTGCGGTACCCCCGGGACTGGGTCCCCCACTGCGCCCCGAAGCACTTTGGGGACCAGAGATTCCCCCAGGACCCTGCAGCGGTCGCGGGGACCTCACGGGGGTG